ACGATTGACATTTCCGATGCTGAACAGACTCCGCAGCGGAGCACCACCCACCCAACCGACGTGTGACGCCATGTCTCTCCCTCCACCCCAGCCCCACCTGTCACAGACTCAGACATAGAAAAGCATATACGTTCTGGAGGGGCAGCTGTTCTTCCTTCCAAACTAGCTACCCACGTTAAATACCACGTCTCGATCGTTTACCTTCCCAACTCACTCTCTAGGGGGAGTACTATAGCGCTTGTAAACTTCTGCATATTCAATTGTGCTTTCCTGTTTCATCTTCCACTATTTCTTGTGCAGTCTGTTTAATTTATTTGCACCGATACATTCTTATTTGGATTTCGTTTCGCGTTCCTACTTTTGTTCGCTGCTCCTACTTTCGTCTTGATTGTTCGGTGCTGTTGCTCGGTGTCTATTGACTGGATTTGTTGCTAACTCGGATTGCGTTTCTTTTCGTGGTATACGGCTAGTGTAATGAACACGGATTATTCCAGGAATGAAGGAAGAAGACAAAAGCCGATAAGGAGGCTTTACTCGATTAATAATTCGGACGTATGAGCTATAAAAACAGAAACATGTATTAGAACGGTAAATATGCCAAAGCATGGAATACGTCAAAATCAAAAACACATAACATTCTCCCTCGCTAGGAAATCGTTGCTGAGTAGTTGATGACGTTTGTAAAGATGAGTTCGGCGCAGAGCGGTCCGTGTTATGAAGGGAAATTGGATAAGAATAACATGCGGGATGCGAATGAAAGAGTTGTCCAAAAAAGCGACGTATAATAGATGAAGAGCCGGATCAAGCTTCACGATTTCTTAGATTGTACGGTCGGGTTCGTTGTTGTTGTTGTAGCAGAGTGGTCTCTCTTCTAGTAGTAGTATCATCAGGAGATGTGTCGGGAGTTGCTGGCAGAGTAGTAGTAGGAACCATAGCATCCGGTGCATTTAGCACGTGGGGCGTCAGAGGGACATCGCTGTCATCGGGAATCCTGCCAGCAGCAGGAGCCAAGTGGCGAGTAGAAACCGTCTCTTCTCTGCCATCGGGAAGTCGGACAAAAGCATAATCTGGGTTGCAATCAAGTAGCTCAACTTCTTCAACCAATGGTTCATATTTCGATTGACGTGAAGCACGCTTCAAGAGTACCCGACCAGGCTCGGATAGCCACGTAGGAAGGGATGTGCCAGTAGTTGACTTTCGGTTGAATCGAAATAAGCGCTCGTGTGGAGTTTCGTTGGTGGCTGTGCACAGCAACGATCGGATAGAGTGAAGACCATCTAAGAGGACCGACTCCCACTGTCCGATATCCAGGTTTTTTGAAGATAGTGAAAGCGTAATAGCGCGCCATAAAGTTCCATTGAGACGCTCAACCTGCCCATTGCCTTGCGGATTATAAGCGGTAGTCCTACTGGTGGATATTCCTTTATCGTGCAGAAACTTTCTTCTTCGGACACAAAAGAAGGACCGCGGTCGGAGTGTATATAAGATGGCATTCCGAACAAAGCAAACAGCTTAGTGAGGCATCCGATCACTGTTGCAGAAGTCATATCAGAGCAGGCAAACGCGAAGGGAAACCGAGAGTATTCGTCAATAACAGTCAGGAGATATTTGTTTCTTGACGTAGATGGAAGTGGTCCTTTGAAATCAATGCTTAACCGTTCAAACGGTTGTGTAGCTTTAACGAGTCGACCAACAGGGGGTCTATAGAACCTAGGTTTGATTTCGGCGCAAGCTTTGCATTGTGAGGTCATCGTCCTGACATCGTCCAAGGAAAATGGAAGGTTACGAGAACGGATAAAATGCATCATACGAGAAACACCAGGGTGGCACATTGACTTGTGTAGTTCGTTAAGTTCCGTACCACTCAGAGACGCTGAACAACGAATTCTGGAGAGCGTGTCGGCTGCTTTATTTCCGCTTCCCGGTCTATACATTATATCGAACCGATAACTTGATAGTTCCAAACGCCAACGTTGGATTTTATCATTCTTAATTTTTCCTTTGTTATTGTCACCGTACATGAATGTCACTGATCGCTGGTCAGTTACTATCGTAAATGGATTGCCAAGGAGGAAATGACGCCATTTTCGCACTGCTTCGACTATAGCGCAGGCCTCTTTTTCTACGGCGGAGTGTGTTTTTTCGCTGTGAGATAGCGTTCGGGAGAAGAATGCTACTGGTCTGCCATTTTGATTCAAGGTAGCGGCGATTGCGATGTCAGATGCATCTGTTTCGACTACCAATGGTACACCGGGTGTGATAGTCACAACTGTAGATCGTTCTAATTCTTTTTTGAGTTGTTCGAAACAGTTCATTACCGGTTCGGGCAGCGGGAAAGTTTCATTGTGAATCAATGGATAGATTTTATCCGAAAATTTTGGAATCCATTTCGAATAATATGCAAACATTCCTACTAGGCGCTGTTGTGACTTGGAATCATGCGGTGGCATCAACTCGGCCAAAGGTCGTAGTCGCTCCGGGTCAGGTTTGATAATGCCCTTGGATATTTCGTAACCGAGCAAGGTGATTTTATTAACAGCAAAAATGCTTTTTGTGTCGTTACAAGTGGTACCGCAATTTTTGGCTACCGTCAGGAAGTGTTTAAGATTTGCGTCATGTTCCTCTTTGCTTCTACCGCACACCGTAACGTTGTCAACATATGCAAAGGTATCTGCAACTCCTTCCCGTTTCAGAAAACTGTCGATGGCTCGTTGAAAGCAGGCGACGCCGTTGGTAACACCGAAGGGAATACGGCAAAACTCGTAAAGTTTTCCACCAGCTTCAAAGGCAGTGTATTTACGTTCTCCCTCGTTGATTGGTATTTGATGGTAAGCACTCTTCAAATCTAGAGTACTATACACATCGAAACGAACGATTTTATCGATGAGGTCATCGATCCTTGGAAGCGGGTAGGCATCAAGATAGGTAAATCGATTGATAGTTTGGCTCTAATCCACAACCATACGCTTCTTATGTCCGCTCGTAGTTACTAACACTTGCGCTCGCCACGGCGACCTCGAAGGTTGGATAATGCCATCTGCCAGAAGTCTTTTGATTTCAGATTGAATGAAAGTTTCATCGAAATCGCTATGGCGTCTAGATTTTGTGACAATCGGCTGGCAATTTGGAGCAAGGTGCTCAAACAGAGGGAACGGTTCCACACGGGCCGCCATTAGGCCACAAATAGTAAAAGGAGGTCTGGATCCATGAAACGATATCTCAATTTTACGATGATATTTGAGGAAGTTGTGATCAAGTAATACGTCAGAGCAAAGGTTAGATAAAACGGATAGTTTCACATTGGAATAACAGGTGTCTTTGTGTCGAATGGAGCAAATAATATGTCCTTGGGTGAAACTAGAATGAGTAGTGGAGGCCATAACGATGTGCTCCCGAGAGGTTTCGATATGAAATTTGTTTAAGTTTTACAACTGAAGCGGAAATGTAGCTTTCAGAGCTCCCAGTATCGACAAGAACTTGCAGCGGTATGTCATTCACAAAGATGTTAGTAACGGCACTGCAAAGGCTGCCGGGCGCGGCAGCAGACGTCACAGAAGATAAAACCGACATAGAAACGTTCGAGCCGTGATTTGTGCTTGGCCTGGATTTGCAAACGCTCTGGAAATGGCCTTTCTTTGAACACTTTTTACATGTCGCATCTCTGGCGGGACATCTTGATCTAGGATGTCTGGCGTAGCCGTAAAAGAAACACGTTGACAGAGAGGACGCAGCGACAGGTTCTTTTTGAGAAGATAGCTGCGGCTCAGATGGGATTTCAGTTTTCATCGGGGAGTTACAAGTCGTCAGCTGAAAGGAAGCAGCTTGTTTTTGGGCCAAGTCAAGAGATCTAGCCATCTCGAAAGCGAACTAAAGATCGAGTGATTTTTCTTCCAATAATCTCTGCCTGATGTGGTTAGATTGTAGACCGCTGATAAAAGCCCCTCTGATAGCTTGATTCCTGTGTTCGTCAGCAGTGACTGGTAGAAAATTACAGTCACTAGCAACGGAATTTAACTTCTGAATGAATTGGTCTAACGATTCACCGTTCTTTTGCCTGGCAGTGGCTAGGATGTGACGTGCAAAAATTTCGTTTTTGTGTTTTATGAAGATATCTTGTAGCGTTTTGACGGCATCCTCATAAAAAGAGCACTGAAAAACCACCTCGAACAGGGCAGATGAGATATAATTCATTAACGTTTTGAGCTTGTCCGGCTTCATGGACTCGATCGATTCTAAAAAATTGTTGAAAGTGTAGATCCAATGGGCCCAGCGTTTGCCGGCGTCAGAAGATTGAGGATCCACATCAAAGCGATCTGGGCGTAAGATTCGATCCATGAGATTGCTGTATTAATCGAGTAAATTGTAATGAACACGGATTATTCCAGGAATGAAGGAAGAAGACAAAAGCCGATAAGGAGGCTTTACTCGGTTAATAATTCGGACGTATGAGCTATAAAAACAGAAACATGTATTAGAACGGTAAATATGCCAAAGCATGGAATACGGCAAAATCAAAAACACATAACAGCTAGCTTCGGACATTTGGAAGACTTGGAATTAACAAAACTTCGGATTAACTATTTTCATAGCTGACTGAGTTTTGCACTAGCCTTTTTGTCTAATCTTTTTAATTACACATTTGCAGAAAGCCTCAGGAATACAACTATCTCACCTTTGCTTTTCAATTCTTTTTAGAAATGTACTGGAAATATTGGATTCTTAATGGCACATTTCCTTTTTCTTGCCAGCAGACACGCTAGTGATCTAGACCAGTATATATTTATCTAGTTATCATGTATACCAACCATAAAGGCTCTTTTATTGTCTAGTTTCCATGTTTCTTTCAGGTAACAGGAAGCCGGAATAAACGAAATCTGGTGCATCTATGCTAAGTTCACTGCATCTTGTGTTGTTCCTTTCATGTCGCAGATGAATCAGTACATCATTCCTCTGCCCCACAATGATCCCACGCTCTTTTCACACGCATCACACGCCTTCTCTCTGGTTGACTTGGGAAAACGATTGCTGGAGGCTGCAAAAAATGGTGATGTCGATGAGTTGAAGAGTTTAATGAACAGCGGTGCCCCATTCACAACGGATTGGGTACGTTCGGTTTTATCTCTTCATCGGAGTACCCCCGATCATCATTTGAGTCTTCCTGCTTAGTTTGTATTGCAACTCACATTGGTACTTAGTCTGTCGATTATGCAACTTAGTAGGCACTGTGGCCACAGCCGCAATTTCCGCTTCACATTCACGAATTAACCTGTGCAGTACCATAGATAGGTCCATGTGCATGTATATTAGTTTGGAATTTGTGAACATAGAGTTTGCCTCGTAGACTAATTCCTCTTGTTTCTCTCGCCGTTGAATTATCCTCAAAGGGTTTCATGCTTTTTCTGTTTTGTGATTTGAATATCGTATCTGCTAGCTGTCCGACGCAATATTCGAGCTCTTCCGATCCGGTCTCGCCTTCACACCAGCGTCTTTAATGATTTCATTCATCTGTGCTTTGCCTTAATGCCTCGTTGCTCTTAAACCATAAACTTGTTGCTAACAGACTTACTGGATATACTTATGCTTGGCGACATCCGATTCCGGATAGATTGCCCAACTACCTTCTCTTGGTGCCAGCTGGGTGGTTCGGGTTTACTTCCAGAAAATAGTTCGGCAGAAGTGCTTCGCCTGGCAAGCGTTCTCCCTGTAAGAAGCCACAACTCCGTTTAACAACATAGTGACGTGCCGGACGTTGCTCGCCACTAAGTCAAGTCACTGCCCCTTGCTTCACTTCGGTGGAACATTGCACTGAAGCGGGTATTTGCTGACAACATGGGAGGATTGGCCCCTGTTTCTTAACCGGCCAAACGAAAGACGTATGAACTGAGTAATCTGTCACCGGCTCCCAATGGGCGCGATTCCCAGAATTCGTCCCGTTGTGTTGCGAGTAGGCTATTTACCCTAAGTGTCGGGATGGTGTCCCTTAAGACAACTCCCTACATCGGCTTGGGAAACCAGATAGTATCACGCCCACTGACAAAACCATGGACCGTCCTTCTGTTATACCGCGCTTAAATACTTTTGCTTCTGCTGTTCACACACCTTCACACGTCACCCGTTCATTTGCCGCCAATCCTTTTTATCCGTTACCAGCCGATTCCTGTTTCTATGATTCGAATTACTATTGTTTCCTCGAGGCCCATAAAGCTCGTCCAGTAGCACTTCTTCGGCACCGGTCCTCGTTCCGTCTGCAATACGTCAATGTACGTACAGTCATACAGACCGAGCAATTTGCTGGTCTCACGCTCACCTTACATTTTATCGCTATTGATGTTTGCTGTTTTTCCGAGACTTGATTCCAAGATCCTAGTGCCGTGATTGAGGTGAGTTCCTTCACCGATCACGGAGCCATCTTTCACCCACATCTTTCTGGTGACAAGAAGCAGCCGCGGTAGGTTTGGTTAGCGTTGATGTAGCACTAAGTAACAAAGCCGAGGCCGTGCTGTGGTACTGGCTCCCGATTAACAGTTCGGTTTCGGGGATCGTGCAGGATCAACAGACATCGTGAGGGAGACGCAACTTGTTTGTGATCTCGGCTTACACTCCAACTGTTTGCATTTGTGACGGCTGACGATTTCTATCGTGAAGTTCACAAGCTCTTGATTAGAGCTTACAAACCAGCTACTGTTGTCCTTGCTTTGGTTCTCAACGCATAGGTTGGTCGTCTATCATCATGAGTCATCTCGGTGGTCTCTATGCGCCCGATGAAAGCCGCTCAGCTAAAGGAGAGAGACTTCTCACACTGTGCGAAGACAATCATCTGTTTCTCTCGAGCACTAGCTTCATTCATTCTAGGAGACGTTTTGCTATTTAGCGCGCACCATCTCCTACTCAGTCATGCTCTCAGATTGTTTACATCGCCATTAGTTACAGATGGCGGGATGGTGTAAAGGATTGCAGAACCATCTGTTCCACATTTCTCGTCTTTGATCATACTCTTATTTTTGCGAACATTTCCATGAGTTTCGGTAGATCTCCGAAAACAAAGCACTGCAAGGTAGATGCAAATAAACCATCTACCCCCTCGATTCAGCAGAGCTATCAAGCTTCCTTGACCGACGACATAGCCGCGACCCAACACCAAACATTGATGAGCCCTGGACGGTCATACAGAAGACCATGCTCGCTTCCGGACAGTCAGTCTGTGGTCTTACTCAGCACCCTATGCAATACTGGATCTCTACGCGCTGCTTGGATTTATTTAATCACCGCAGAAATATTCTAGCAGAGTCCAGTCATAACGAAGTGCGCTCTTCGGTCAGTCGGCAGTGCAAACAAAACCTACGAAGTGACCGCGAAGTCTGTTGGCCTCAGCATGTTTCGAAAATGGAGGCCGTTGCCCTATCTGGCAATACTCACAAGCTCTTCCAGCTCAGGACACAGGAAGTCCGGTATCAGTGGGACAATTTGCGAAGCTGATAATTTGCTGATTACTAATCTACATAGATTCCTGGATCGATTGATTGAACATTTTCATTCCCAGTTTAGTTAGCCCTCATCGCCCACTTGTATATCCTGCGACCCCAGCTGCCCGTCCTGCGTCGTTCAGTTCAGTTTAATTGCAACTATGATCCAAGCACCGAAGTGCGGTGATACAGTTACCACGCTGCATATCGCAAAAATAACGATAACTAACGTCATGATAGTGGGGTTGAATGCAAGTTGCGTGCAAAGAAAATGGAAGCAAGAATGAAGTGCCTTAACTTAATCAGTATGTAACGAAAATTAACAACCAGCTGCAAGGACCCGAATGCAGGAACGCCACTGACTGCGTGACTGCGCCATGTCTGTTACGCTCTCTAACCATTGGTGTAGACCATCCCAAGGCCCCCATCCACGAAAACGGTACACACCAGTCTGACCAAGTGTCTCAGTCAGTTTCTTTATGCCTTTGTGCCACGTAATGAACTGGTTACCTCGCAGTTACGCCCAACATTGCAGCGGCGCCGTATAATGCACGCCGAGGAAGCTGATCAACGGGCATACGGAGGACATGGCCTAGCCAACGTAAGCGATGAAGATTCAATAAACACTCGAGTGAGGAGTGAGAATGCTCCTTGCCAAAAACCAATTGGCGGACCTCAGCGTTGTTTACCTGCTGTTTCCACCAGACATGAGCAATACTCCGCAAGCATCGACGGTCAAACACGGCCAAGCGTTTAATGTCTTCGCCGCGAATTGGCTAGGCTTCTGATCAGTGGTATGCACCCTACCTTTCACTAACAGGCAGATATCGCCCTGTCTCCTTAGATGGTTGAGTCTCTAGCAAGCCACACGGGCCTTGTTGATATGTGAAGTAAATTCCTCAGTGATGTGACCATCAGAGGAGACACAGCTACCAAGGTAAATTAACCGATCCGCCAGTTCCATTGTTTGTTCGGTAATGGCTAGAACCGGAGGTGTGCCGGTCCAATCCTGCAGCAGTACTTTGCCCTTTAAAGGTGCAAAGTACTTGCCGAAGCGTGCAGCGTTACGTGTCAGTCTATCCAGTAGTGTGTGCGTATCCACTGCGTTAGACCCATGAATAGCTGTCTTCCGCATGCTCCAGATTTGCCAATCGGTCTCCTGGCAAAACATCCACTCTTATAAAACCTGAATTAACCGAGTCACTCATGATCATTACAATAACAATGAGGAAGAGGAAAGGAGATGTAGGACAACTCTGGCAAACCATGCTTGTCGTGGTGTAACTCAGGAGGCAGTTTCCCGTAGACCCTTACACGGCCTCGGCAGTCACAGTAGAGAAACTTAACAATGGAAAGGAATTTAGCCTACACGTCCTTCATGGATAGGCAGTGTCGCAATTTAGAAGGGTCAACACAGTCGAATGCGGCTTCCAACTCGAGGAAAACAACCGTATCCGGTCGTCTGTATTGTCAGTCTCTGCGCCAACATTTGGCGAAAAGTAAATTTGTGTTCTATACAACCACGACGAGGGCGGAAGCCAGCCTGGCTTTCAGTGATTCGGTCCTCACAGGAACCAGTAAGTCGTCGGAAAATGATACACCTAAATTGTTTGGAGGCAATGCCTCAACGGTTTTCGCACAAAGGACGCTGACTCTTTTTGAAGATGAACATGGCTGTTGACAGTCGCCAGTCTGACGGCACCATTAGTGTACCAACTCTTATTACATAGATAAGTGAGCTTAGTAAACAAAGATTCACCACCATCCTTCAACAAAGATTGAGGGAGGTCCTCGTGTCCAAGCGCCTTGTTTCGTTTTGACACAAAAGCTCATGTCGAATCTCTTCCAAAGTGGGAGATGTGACATCTACTTCTCACGTCGCCTCAGGTGATTCGGAAATCGGCAGTGTCGCAGTAACTCTGCCGAACTGCTCTTCAAAATGTTTCGCCCAATCGACTACTTGCGGACGTCGAGAATGAATCAGCTGTCCATCTTTCTCAGTTATGGTTTAGTCAGCTGATGGCTTTCTCGAACCTGTGTTCCGGATTAGCTATAGTGGCAATCGGCTGTTACCAATGGAACTGGCTTTCTCCATCTCACGGGCCCTTGCCCTCCATCAACGTTCCCGGTCGATTCGAAGACTCCTTGTCGGACGTCGTTTCAGGGAGTTACGGATACACTAAAACTCGGTGTCCATCGAAACCTGCTTCCTTGCTTCGATCAGGCTGATCGATGCCTCAGAGATCCATTCACAGTTATGACGTTTCAAGTTGAGTGCATAGCATGCGTCAAAGTCATTCTTCATGGTACATTCGGGACGATCCCAGTCAACCTTCGGCTCACCAACCTCATTCATCACTGACAGCTGGCGGTCCAGTTCTTCATGATATTGCTGAACGACAGATTGCGAGTTCAAGTTACGGATAAAAAATCATTAGAAGATAGGCGCTTCTTTGAAGCGAGAAGACTGAGCGCCAAGAATGCGCGCACTAGAATATGGTCAGAATCCAGGCAAGTGCTCTCAATTGACCGATAACTTTGGACTGATATGTGCTATCTGTAGCTGATGGCAATATGGTCAATTTGGATCCAAGGCATTGTGGGATTCGGTGGACACCAGGTGGCGTGTTGTTTTTACGT